CGCAAAGGCTGGAACGAAACTCCTCAAAAGGGGCTGTGGGCAACCCCTTGGTCATGATATCCGCAAACTGTTGGGAAGTAGGGACATGAAGAACTCGAACATGACCAAGAGCTACCTGTTCCCGAATGAAGTGAATATCCAGCTCAATGTGTTTGGTGCGACGATGATGAACCGGGTTGGCGGAGAGGTAAACCGCAGAGACGTTGTCGCAGTAGACAATCGTGGCCTTGTCGACAGGACAAGAGAGCTCATGAAGAAGTTGGCGAAGCCAGGAGCACTCTGCAACAACGTTAGCCACCGCTCGATACTCTGCCTCAGCGCTGGAGCGAGAAACAGTGGGCTGTCGTTTAGACGACCAAGAGATCAAGGATGGTCCAAGATAAACACAATACCCCGAGGTGGAACGTCGCGTATCGGGGCAGCCGGCCCAGTCAGCATCAGAGTAGGCGGTGATGTCCATAGCAGTCGAGGCATGAAGCGTCAAGCCGAGATCCATGGTGCCGCGGATGTAACGGAGAACCCGTTTGACCGCGGTCCAGTGAGCATCACGAGGAGCATGCATGTGTAAGCAGACCTGCTGGACAGCATACTGAAGCTCCGGTCAGGTCAGCGTGAGATACTGAAGAGCGCCCACAATAGACCGATAAAATGAGGCATCTGGAGCAGGGGAGCCGTCGGTGGCAGAGAGCTTGGCCTTCGTGTCGACAGGTGTAGACGCGGGTTTGCAATTAAGCATCCCAGTGCGATCAAGAAGCTCATGAGCATACTTCCGCTGATGAAGAAAGAAGCCATCCGCACGGCGAGCAACCTCGATGCCGAGGAAGTAGTGCAGAGGACCCAAGTCCTTAATGGCAAACTCAGCACGAAGACGATCGGTAAGCTGTCGAAGAAGAGCACTAGAGCAAGCTGTCATGATGATATCGTCGACATAGAGCAGCAGGTAGGCAGTAGCATCACCGTGTTGGTATATGAACAGCGAAGCATCGGAGCGTGTGGAGCGGAAGCCGAGCTGACAGAGGAACGCTGCGATGCACTGGTACCAAGCGCGGGGAGCCTGCTTGAGCCCATATAGGGAACGGGAAAGCAGGCAAACATGCTCCGGATGAGTGGCGTCGACGAATCCCGTCGGCTGCTGACAATACACCTGCTCCTCGAGATGACCATGGAGGAATGCGTTGGACACGTCCATCTGGTGCACCGGCCAGGCGCGAGAGACTGCAAGCTGAAGGACAGTGCGAATCGTCCTGGGCTTGACAACCGGGGCGAATGTATCCATGAAATCAATGCCAGCACGCTGTCGGAAGCCTCAGACCACCCAACGAGCTTTGTAGCGATCGAGTGTGCCGTCGGGGTGAAACTTGTGCTTAAACACCCACTTCCCGGTAATGATGTTGGCATGCCGGGGACGAGGAACAAGCTGCCAAGTTGCGTTGCGCTGCAATGCCTCAAATTCCTCCTTCATCGCTGCGTACCAAAGTGGATCACGAAGAGC